GTGGAGGAGAAAGAGGTACAGCGTTTGAAGACTATTAATAACATCTCTTATCTTGAGGCTCAGAAGCTATTGTTCCCTACTACATCTCGGACATATGCCACTGTACTATGTTCCACTACTACAGTGGGAGTGCAGACGGACTTTTCTGTGCCTCCATCTGAGTCTTTTTCATGCCATGTGAGAGGTCTTCTGCCCTCCATGGATAATAGAGTTGATAGGTCTACATCTACTCCAATCTCTGTCCCCACTATTCCTTCCAGTGACTGCCTGGGTCAACCTCCTCGGGCACCAGCCTCTGGTGTTCATGTGGGTCCTTTTTTGGCCCATAAATGCAGGATGATCATTCAGTCACGTCTTCAGTCATTGGATTCTCACTCTGATGACAGAGATCTGCCTGCTCGATCTAGGGCAGGATCCATGAAGGTCGATCGAACTCCATCTAGTAAAGAAAAATGGCGTGGTCGTAAAACCAAAGGGTTCTCCACCCTGTTCTCATAAACCTACATAAAAATGGCCACTTTGATACAGTGGAACTGTCGAGGTTTTTGGTCTAATCTCGATGACATTAAGGCCTTGATTGACTTTTATCATCCCGTGTGTCTCTCCTTACAGGAAACATTTCTGAAACCTGCCGATACAGTCACCTTTCAGCAGTTTTCTTTGTACCGGAATGACAGGTTGTGTGATGGGTGGGTGCACAGAGGGGTAGCACTGCTGGTTGACCAGATGTGCCCTCCTTATCTGTGTCCCTCAATACACCCTTGGAGGCTGTAGCCATCTGTGTCCCTCGATACACCCTTGGAGGCTGTAGCCATCTGTGTTTCCTTGGGTTGAGCCATCACTGTTTGTTCTCTCTACCTGTCTTCTGGGGAGACTTATGATCGATCGGACCTTGATGCTCTCGTTGACCAGTTGCCACCTCCCTTTTTACTTCTGGGAGACTTTAATGGACACAATCCCCTCTGAGGTGGTGCTGATATTGATGGGAGGGGTTGTTCCATAGAGCATGTGCTCTCAGATCACAACCTTTCTCTTTTCAACACTGGAACATATACTTATTTTCATGCACCTAGTCAGTCTTTTATTGCCATTGATCTCTGGATTTGCTCCCCTTCACTGTTCACTCGCTTTTCTTGGATGGTTGACAGTGATCCACGGGCAGTGATCATTTTCCTATCATTATGAGGGAGGTTGGCTATGGTGGATACCACCCGACCCGAGTGCCATAGTGGAAGCTGGACCAGGCTGACTGGCCATCTTTCACCTCTCTCTCTGAACTTGATCCTGCATTCGTCTGTCTGCCATCAATAGACAACTTTGTGGTTGCAGTGACTGACTGTATTGTCCAGGTGGCTGCTCATTTTATTCCTAAGACCTCAATACGTTTTCCACAGTATCCTCGTCCATGGTGGAGTCCTGCCTACTAGGAGGCACGGAAGGCTCAAAAACAGGCCTGGGATACCTTCCAACGGTATCCCTCTCTTTCTAACTGCATTGTTTATCAGGTTCGACGTCAAAGCCAAAAGGAGTCTTGGATCAAGTTCACTTCTAGCATCTCTTCTACCACCAGTTCCAAAACTGTATGGGACAACAATCGTAAAATCACTAGGAGGTATGCTTCCCATCCCCTTTCCATCTTGCTCTCCAATGGCCAGGAAGCTGCTGATGTCCAGAGCATTGCTGATGCTCTCAGCTAAAGCTTTTCTCATGCTTCTAGCACTTCTGTTTCTTCCCCTGCCTTCTTGGCCATAAAGTCTCGGGCAGAGTGATCGCTTCTTTCCTTTCGGGCTGATCGTCTCTATGATTATAATTGCCCCTTTACACTGGTGGAACTCAAACTTGAGCTTCATCGGTCTAGTAGTACATCGGTCGGCCCTAATGATGTTCATTATGAGATGTTGCGCCATCTCTCTCCTGCCTCTCTTGCTGTTCTTCTGGTTATTTTTAACCGG